GTCAATATTGCCATATCAATTTGAGCCGGATTCAGACCCAGAGAATATTGAACAAGATGATTGCGCAGAACCTTTGCACACACGGATATTGCAAGATATATTAGAGTGGTAACGTTATTGTTGTTGTTGTTTTTTTTGGCTAAATCACGTTTTAGATAGGATGTCATCAACCGCTTAAAAATAACTGCATTTACTATGTACAGATATGTGCATATGTATTATTTTTATTGTTCTTTAATTCTAACATTATAACATGAATTGCAGTGAAACTGTTATACAGTTGAATTTATTTATACCATAGTCCAGTGTTTCCCAGGCGGCATATATATGCAAACTCATTCTCTGGCAGCAGGAGGCGCTGTTGGAGTGGTAGAGGTCGAGGTTTCCCCGGTAACGGCTGTACACAAAGCAGCGCTCCGCTCACAAACCCTGTTTTATCCGACATTATATGTAAGAAGAAATTAAATTGACATCCAATTTTCTGAAGACAGTTGGTTTCCTTCAGAAATACAGTGATATAAAAACACCCGCACTCAATGTATGGGAAACACTGTAGTCTCATAATTGAAGTGTAAATTCTGCAGATTACATCATTGTCCAGTATTGTACTGTCAGCAATTTATTATAAAAACGTTTTCATAATTGTAACATACATATTTACATACATAATTTTTCAGGTGCATGTGTAAAAACTTGAGGCTACAGCAACACTTCTTTTTCTTCGTCGTCTCATCTGATGCACTCAACCAAGCATTCTAACCACGCCCTTTAAATGAACACTTATAATGTGTCCACAATACAGAGTGAAGCAGTGCTCAAGGTAGTGAGATCATTTTGTGATTAATTAAGTGATGATTGAGCATTAGTGATGAACAGCTGCTGTTAACAAGCAGAATCACTGAAGAAAAGAGAAACACAAGAACTACAACTGACTTCAGCCACAGCCTTAGATGATATCAACTGAAATACAAAACATCATTAAATCTCTCAAGATCTGATTAAACAACTCCTAAAACAGCTTTACCAGCTTCACTTATTACCAGACTGACTTTATGTCAGACATCTACAGAAGATCTTATTGAGTTACAGAGGTTTAGATGTTTTTTCCCCCATCATTTTCATGATGGAGATCTGCGTTAACTTTAGTTGGGATCTTGAACCTTGACTTTTTAATATTAACTTTTCTTTGGCTGCTGTAACAATGTGTTTTTGAAACATGTTTGTTATGGCAAAAAAGAGTCAAAGAAAAAAATCTGGTATTGTTGTTTATGAATTGATAATAACAATCATCCTCTTACTCCTGATTTACTGATTTTATCCAGTGTCTCTTCTTTTACTGAATATTAATATTTATTTTTTATTTATTTAGTCATTTAGCAGACGCTTTTATCCAAAGCGACTTACAAATGAGGACAACAGAAGCAATCAATTGTAGTATTAAAACAACTAAAAACAGATCCAAAACTAAAAGCTAAACCTTTATAAACACTACTTATACACATTTCAAAAATAAAGAAATTAAATAAAAATGACAAATGTATACAACAAAATCACAAAACTTAACATTTAATTGAAAAACAAAACATAAAGCTAAAAACAATTCAAAATATTAAAAA